GGGGGAAGAGAGGGAGGGAGGGAGGATTGATAAAGCCTGATCTGTGCCACGGGGCATTTATGGCTGTTGGGGAGGCAGGGGGACGGGGATAGGGGGAAACGGGTGGGAGGAGGCATTGTCTGCTGTGTCCGTGCGTTTATAGGATTGAGCTCAAGTTTCCTTTGTGTTTCCATTTTGTTGAGGGATTATGTTCTTTGAGAGAGTTGTGCAAGCAGGCAGGCACACAGAGTGGAGGCGGAGAGAGGGAGAGAGAGAGAGAAATGGGTGAGGCAGGGAGGGGGCATGAGGGAGGGAGGATGTCTTTGTTCAGAGCGTTGATCATGAACAAGACAGATAGCGGAGGGTGTGTGTCTGCAGGAGTGTGTGCATGTAAGTGAGCGTATCTGTGTGTGTTTAAATGCCAGAGAGAGAGAGCGTGTTTATGTGCGTGTGTGTGTGTGTCAGAGAGAGCAAAGCAAGATGTCAGGACATGTAACCAGCCATGTAACAATTTAAAATCAATTTGCCTCCCAAGAAGGAATTGCTCTGCGAACAGTTTTTCCCTCCGAGCGTTCTGCAGGACTTTCATTCTATCTAAATAGATATCAATTACATAATCGCTTTTCTTCCCTCTGCCCGGCCGCCGGCTGCAAAGTTTGTCACACCGAGCCGCGGTGTAATTGCCCCTCAAGTCGTAATGTTTTGCGATTGCTTGTGACATTTGCAATGTCATTGATCAAACGGGGCACAGTTCTAATGAAGACGCAGGAAAGCTCTGACTGAAGCGAGGAGGCGGGGTGGAGGAGGTGGCGATGGAGGGGTGGGGTCTTATGCTTCTCGTGAACTATGTCAACTGAAGCAACAGTTTCGTGTTGGAAACCACCTCCTTTCCCTCGAACCGTCACATCCAAAACCACTTTTCCCTCATTAATCGATTGGTGGCGGATGAAAGCGTGTGCCTCTCCAGCATTCATCATAAATTCAAAAAAAGAAGAGAGAAGAAGTAACTGGAAGTCTTAACTGGTGATAATCTGAGCACTGAAAGTTTTCCAGCTAAATACACTTACCTTGTTCCAACCCCACTGGGTAACCACGCGCCCATTGTGTTTTCCTCAACTTGTTAAAACACCACATGGTACATTTGCATAGGATAACCAACATATAGCGAATCATTTGCATGCCTGAAAGTGCACTTGAGTAACCGTAATTACACGTGACACCAATTACTCTGTTACTTTGTATTAAATTATAATGGAAAATTCCACTAGAGAATTGGAGCCTAATTGCATCTTAATTTGCATAATTTTGCATATTAATCACATCTCAGATGAATAATAAATTTCAGCCGATTTTTTTAATTTATGCGCAGATACAAAAACAAGTTGAAAAATAATTTGTGAGTGACAAAAAAAAATAAATCAGAAACTATTACTAAGAGCATTTGTGCTAATTTCTCTCATTACCCGACGTTTAAGTTAAAGATATCTGCTCTCTTGATCAACGAGTTCTGCATTTGGAAATTGACGGTTCACTCCGGCAGAAAAAAAAGACACAAAAGAGGTGCGGAAATGCGAATTTCGGAAATGCCCGCGCGTCCGTTTTAAATAAAAACTTTACGACTCTATTTAAAGCTTTTTCCGCTGCAGCCATGCCAAATGTATTCTGCAATGATAATTCAAATCACTTTCCACCTCTACCTTTTCTTTCTTTCTCTTTCACTCTGTCTCTTTTTTTTTTTTTCCTGGTCAACACCTGTGCCTGCTATTGTGTGTGGCTCCCTGCCAGCTCACACAAAATCCAATACCTGTGGCCCAGATTAAATTCAAATTTACAAAAACAACATATTTTCAGATTTAACACGCTATCCTTTCCAACACAAAGTTGACCAAGTAGTTCTAAAAACCTGATTATGAAGAAATGTAAAAAAATAAAATAAAATTTGAAATTGCAAAATACTACTTTTGTAAAAAAAAAGAAAATGTATATATAAATATATATATGAATCGGTTTTATATGAGTCAACACAACCTCTTCTTGTGGCACAATGGTACGGGTTGTATCTGGTTAAACAAATGACTGGGTTTTTTTAGTTTACTGATTGCATTTTAAATGGCAAAGATTAAAAAAAGGATACATCAGCTTTACAAATATTAGGCGATAATGTGACACACTTATAAGTCATTACCATTTTGACTGTAATTTCAGCTTCTATGACTTTTGTTTCGTTTTGTTTCACTGAGACAATTTTGAGGGACTGCATATTTAAATTTCACTCGGTATACAGATAAAGTTCACTGCCATGCACGGCTGTGGGTGTGAATGCCAGAAAAATAAAGAACATAAAAAGAAACTGATAAATTTGGCTTGTACAGTATATCACTGTGTGTGGTCAGTAGGGCTATAGAAGCACTGTAAATACCAGCTCAAAAAAATAATTACAGTATATATAGTGTGTTATAGGCAGCAGTTAACAGGTACTTATTTGGATGGCGTCATCATTTTCTTGAGCTGAGAAATGTTTCTGCTTTCTTGTCATTATTTGTTTTAATCCCCAGGTTAGAAACCACTGAGTTAAAGTGAGACGTTTCACCTCGTCCTCCCACGTGAACAGCAAAGCTAAAGTGCCATTTACATTCATTTTGTGACGTCTAAGATGTGCTATAGCTGTGATTCCACCCAGACAGCGTGCCCTTATATTTTATATCCACATGTTGTTTATTGATGGAGTTGTCTCGTTGCCTCTGATGAACCAGTGTCCATATTTACTCTCGGTGACCTGCCTCGTGCACTCTGGAGGGTTTGTTCAGCACGGTGTGCTCATCTCTGTTAGAGCACGTTACACCAGCGTGGAGCTCAGCCGTGGACAACAGTGCCTTTCAGTGGCACGACAGAGGAACGGACCCAGCGAAGACGCAGGCTGCAGTGTTACAGCTCACACGCTGTGATACTGAGTGACAATAATAACACCCTGAGGGTCCGACACTACAACATTATAAGACTAACGGGAAATTAGATTGAATGAATTCAGAAAGAGCAGAAATGCTGCTGGGCCTCGAAGGCTATAAATCTGCCAAATATTTTGGAGGGAAATTACCTTTATTTATTAATTTAGTAATTATGACTCATTTGCAGTCCCATTTGAAGATACCGACTCCCGTAAATCTCAAAACCAACCTCAACTGAAGAAGGTACACTACCTTTAAGTCAAGTTCAGCTCTTCAAATGACCCCAAACAATACACAAGACTTTGATATGGCTGTATGTGATCACCTTTAAACAACATCACAATTACTAACACTTGCAATAACAACACGAGGAGAGACCTGGGGACCTAAAAGTTTCACTAATGTGAACTTTACAAGAATTTGAGCAGCTTCAGATTTGTTATTATCAGCTAAATAACACCAAAGTCCTTCTACAACCCTGCAAAGCTTACAGATTTATCTAAAAGAACATTTTTACCATGATACAACAAGTGCAGGTATAGAATCTGTTCTAAATCGGATGAAAATCTTTCAAACTTAATGAACCCTGAATTTGCCCTCAAATAAGGCGAAATTTGCCCATCTGAATTTCACTTCCACTCCAGTCTTTGCTACTTCTCCCACAGATTTCAAGTCCAGGATTCTTTGAATTCCACAACTTGCTCTGATAATGTCTCTGATCGTGCCCTGCATTGTTAGTGCACAGCGTGGCCCTGTCTTGGGGGCCTTCCCTATGTCAGTTCAGACTGTGTATGTTTAATTTACCAGTGGTGCAATAAACAGCAGCCCGGACTCTAACTCTTCCTCGCTTGTGTATTAAACTGCAGCTTCTCCAACAATTAATCCCACCCAGCGAGGAGTCGTTAATATTCTGCTCCACTCCACTGGCAGATGTAAAAAGCATTCTCAACTGACACATATAATTACTATGATACATCCCGGAAAGGTTTCCGTGTCTGAGCGCAATTTCAAATAACCAAGTGCTGCGCGGCTAATTATTGATAAATAAAATTAGTTGGGAGAACTTCAGGTGGGCGGGGCCGCGCGCAGGTGTCTGCTGAATGCGTGCGAGCGCGTGTGTGCGCAGAGGAGGGAGAGCGCGACGATACAGCGGAGCTGACCTGCAATCACCGAGAACAGCGGGGACTTAATGATGTTTTGGTCTGCTGATCAAATTTCACATTTTCGCACAATCATTTTGGGCACCTGCTCAGAAAACAAAAGCCTGGCTAAAACTGCTGGCCCGTGTGAACAACTCAGTGTGTGTGCGTCTGTGCGTGCGTGCGCGCGTGTGTGTGTTGCTGCTGCTTTTTTCTTTTACATGTTCACTTTTATTGTTTTTATAATAGACTACATGCGGGCAGAGACACACGTAAAGTTTGTTTTCTAGTTCCCTTTTTCGACACACACACACACACACACACACACACACGGGATAAATGAGTATTTATCTCCCTCTACTGGACCCTATCAGTAAAACCACTTTGCTGCCTTTAAATACCCCCAGTGAGTGCCATTCACGCATAGAACTCTCACGCAGATCCCGTCTAGTCTTTCAAAAACAATCTGAATTCAATCTGAAGGACCGACTGTGTAAAATACGGTGTAAATATGTAGTCACACATTTTGCCAGAAAATACTGAGCATGGTCTGTGCTCAAATCGGTAATGAATATTATATAAAAACAGGAAATAAAATGTAGCAGATCGTTATTGAAAAGTTGAATATGATCATTATATGTGCTGTTTAGCAAACTAACTTGTAGGATAGCATAGTTCAAGAGTCTAAGACTTCAAAGCAATAAAAACATATTTATAAAAATGTAACAATGCTGTAGTGATTGTTCAAAGTAAACAGCAGCAGACCGAGTGTTAGAGTTCTGTGAAAGCGTAGACGAACCACAGCACAGGCAAGGCCAAACACACACAGTCATTGGGCCAAACTAACTGCTCCGATTGTAAAATTTCCAACAGTTCTTGAAAGCAGCACTGTTATGTGTACGTCGTTTTCACCATAGGCATTATGGGTACAATATGGGGTGAGTTGCATAAGTTTACAAGAGGCTGCAGTGTGGATGGAGGCTGTCGCCCCGGTCTGTGGTGGACACGGAGCCTTAACGCTGTGTCCTTCCCGCTCTGATGCAGCGGATCAGCAGCCTCGCCGCATGCCGGGAGTTCGGCGGCCTCGTGGCCTGTACAGCGGGGGTCTGTGCCCGCAAGAACAGCTGCAAGCAGCCGGCTGCGCACCGGCAGTGGGACGGTCCGGTCGTGCGTCCCGTGCGTGCTTACACCGCGGCGCCGGGCCGGAGGCTGTGCGGACGGAGTCTCGTGTTCGCCGGTGTGAAACACAGACTGTTCTGCTCGCAGCATGGAGCTGACGGGCCCGAGGAGAGCTCCGGCCGCCGGCCCGCTATCTCCGTGGTCGGCATTCCAGACCCGATCACATGGATCAGGTGTAAGGTCATCATGTTTGCACTCGATCTGTACTTTGACGTCAACTCTGAGGAGTTTGAAAGAGGTGTGAAGCAGGTAACTACCGACAGGCCGTTTTACTTTTTCATCAGTACTGTCAATAATAAAAAGCACATTTTTCATGCTTTATATGGACCATTGTTTGAAAGAGTTACCTTTAGTAGTAAATACACGTTTACATCTGATACTAGGACATCAAGAGGTCATGGATTGGACAACGTAGGTGGGACAACACCACATTAAACTATACCTCGCTAAATAACATTTTGCTCTGTGCTAAAATTTGCATCACATCACGTGACCTTCATTAGCCTGTTTATCTTCAGCTTTTTGAAGATACTTTTTTTAATAGCAGTGTTGTCCCACATGTGCTTGGAGCATTCCCCCCCCCCCATAAACAAATGCTTTCCACCTTCAGTGAATGCACACACAGCCACGGATTAAACCACCAACCTTCTGATTAGTCGATGACCTGCTCTTCTATCTGAGCTACAACCACGCCTACTGAATGAACCTGCCAAGGTGAAAACTGGGCAGGTTCATTGTGCTAACGAAGAACACATAACACGACTGAAAGCAGCAGAGCACTTACAGTTTCAACTAGAGACTTTTTAAGATTGTGTATTTATTTATTTTTCTGGTTATTACCCAGCCTGAGGCAACATGGCAGGTTGTAAACCCGCTTTAAAGACGCAAACACACACTTGTACTGTCAGGAATCGCGGCTTTTTATTAAATACTGTGGTTAAAGAGAATAAGCCACCTTTTTGTTCCTCATCCATTCCAGGCCTTGGTTCATGTCTCCAACAAGATGTCCAACGGCAGATATCATGAGCTAAAGGGGATAGTGTCCACTGAGGTAACACATCAAAGACATAACAAAGGTGTATTAAAAAAGCTGACTTTGAGACTGTCCCACACAGACAGTACAGGACTGTATCAAACTGTTAGTGTTAATAAAATCTAACATTTAGTATTCATGTCAAATTAAGACTTTTTTTCCCCACTTTCAATCTTTTTTAGTAATGATCGTCTTGTTTTTCCTTCCAGATGTTGGAATATGTTGAGAAGAGGTGCGGGTCTCTCACTGATGCTCAGAGGAAGCAGCTCGGTGTCCAAATGGATGATATTGTATTTGTGCTTCCAGAGGACATCTCTGTCGTCTTTGATCAGTATGGTCAGTTTGTGAAATCAGAACATGGGATGAGGAAGTGATACGAACAGCAGGACGGACTCTGATTTCTGTCTTTTTTCTTGCAGGTAGGAAGTTTTGCTACATCGTCATGAGATTTTGGATCCTGTCATCACATGAAGGACCCGATGACCCTGAGGGTACAAAAATCTTCAAAGTGGGATCCAGTGAAGACGGCGGCCCACAGAAGAAAATTGTAACTGCTGTTTATGAGTAAGCACTCATCTCGTCATCTGTCAACATCACAAACAAGCCAATCATCCAGAAGCATGGCTTAGAAACAAATATTTCCTCATTCAGCTCTGGCATGTTAGCAGAGCTGAAGCTATGTCTGCTCTTTCTTTGCTTAAAGAAAACTTTTGATCATTAATTTGCTGAAATGTGCCAAAATCTTTGTTTGCTTTACGTCTCCATATAGGCTATGCTGATGCAAAATTAAAGTGTACAAATATTTGCTTAGAGATAATTTTATGTTGGCAAAAGCTCAAAGCTACCTGCAGGCCTTCCAGCATACAGCAGGTCTGTTTTTGTTGGGAGGGGAGCAGAGCTGCTGGTGGTGAGTTGAAGGTTTTTAAAGTAAATGCAGAAAGAATAACAGTGAAATGTTCAGAAGGATCACATGGATGAGGGTCTGTGTTGTATTTAATGCCTCTCTTGGGGAAAGTGGCAAAAGTGACATTTATATTTCTACTGCTACTTCAGTCACTTGAAAGTAAGAAACAAAAATAGTACTGGTAGGAAAAAAAGGGTAAAACAATTATTTCTGCTTTCAATTTGCTTTAAAAACTCATTTTTGTTTTTAAAAACTTTTTAGAATTGTGGCATAGACTATATAACAGATGAA